CAAAACTTTCACTAAATATCTTGCAACGCTCAGATCGTAACCATAACAATATCTAAGTAATAGATGGAAAAGGCTGGTGTCAGCTAGCTTCTCTAGAATGTGATCCAAACAACTTTATTCTCACCTCCACGGAAAAGCCAGCAGGATGTAAAACTAACTGTGCTGAATCCAACCACTTTGGCACTCATGAAGGAAACCGCATCGGTCAAACTGGGACAATCTTAAACTTGTCCCATAAAACCACGTTTGCAGGAGGCTGGTGGGGGAGGCCCAGAGGGGGACTTCTCTTTATCAAAGTTTCCTGTAATTAATTGTATACACAGTCATATTAAACTGACATAAAAAATTCTGTACAAATCAATCTGGAGCTGTACAATTAACTCTGGATCTGCAAGACACACCTGGTTACTATTTAAAATGGGCACTAGGAGGTTAAAAATACTGCTCCTTCTCAGAGTTACTTACACCGCCTTAGAATATTAAAAGTAAAATTTTAGAACATCTGGTTTTCCTTTCCACTCCCTATGATATCATGTTTTCCAAGCACATTTGGCAGCTCACTGTAAAGATACAGGCAGACGAAACATACAAGGCAATGTAGAGTCAAGATGAAAAATTCCAAACCCCTGGATGCAGTAAATGTTTCCTATCTCCAAATTTCAGTTACACAAGTGGTATAATAAGGGTTTTCCCCCCCTGGTAACTCATGTATTCTTCAACCTTCTTCTTCCTTGAAGAGATGAGATGATATACCATATATCTGCCCTCTAGAGTTTTGGCTGTGTCTTTGTAAGTAATTTTTCATGTATTATGGGATATTCAGAGTCCCTATACAGCAAGATTCAGTTATAGGAAAAAATAATTATGTTTAACAGGGTCAGATTTTGTATGTACTTTTCTTTATCTCACTCCAGGAGATGAGATTAGCCTTCTATATTTCTCCTGCCAGGAAAAAAAAAAAAAAAAGAAAGAAAAAAAAATCCAATCATGCTACAGCCACTGCCTTTTTATGGCTTGGTTTTGTGCCTCCTAGCCTGGAACTGGGAAATTGGACCAAACCAGTTCCAGGGGACTGTGTTTCCCATGAATTTACACAGATTGTAAACAATACAGAAGAGTGGCTGTTATAAAAACTAAGACCTCACATTTGACTGATTTCTCCCATTTATTTTAACATATCTTGATGCAACTTTTGCAATTTTTTCCCTTTACCTATTTTATTATTTTTACTGGGTCATATTCAAAACACAGATTAGTCAGCATTAACATACCTTTAAGCTTAGCACACACTCACATTTTACTGATGCATGAGAAGGTAGCCGACTCTTATGCTCACCAGTGAGGGAGCAGCAAACCTAGAAATCCAACGTCAGTTTCTTGCTCTAAATCTTAATCTCTCCATTTTGTAAAAAGACAGTTTGGAAATGCAAAGAGATACCTTGGGAATCCTAACATGACAGACTCTTTGGCTTATTATTTCACGTTTAAAAGCAATTTATAGCATAGTAATTATTAAAGTGTACAAAGGAGGAAAAGTATGTATTAAAAAAAACTACTGACAAAATAATAGTCCCAGTGGTTATGCCCTGATTAAAACTTAATGACTAATCAATAAAACTATAATTATAACTTTCACCCTGATGCAATTTGGAATAGTTTATATATTTCTATTGATCGGCTAAGACTTTATATAAAACAAATGTGAGAAGATCTTGCTTTGTGCTATTTTTATTACAGGTTTGTTGTAGCAAATCTCTAAATCCCCATCTCAATTATTTTACAGCTTAGTTTTCCCATCACACCAAGATGAGAAGAAAAGCTAGCAAAAAGCAGAATCTTATTAGCTGAAAAATGGCTGTTACAACATCACAGTTTCTACACCATAAAGTCAGATTGCCATTTCAATGGCTATCACTAAATTTTTCTCTGGTCTTAGAGCAGCAAAAGCCAAGCACATGAGACAGCCCTGAGCAACTCATGTAAGTATTCTGCATCTCCATTTGTCAGCCTGAAAATGACAGCGGTAAGTGCCTGAGTTGTAAGGGTCACAAGTTGACAGACCACCCTGGAAAAACAGGCAACAGGTTCTGTAATCATGCAAGGAGTCATCTGTAGCCAACTGTTCTTTGGCTGATGATGATTAAATTGCCCAGTTATAGTTTTCTCACAGAATCGTCACAGGCAGAGGAAGTATACTATAAATAACCCACTCGTGAAAGAAGACATCTTTTTTTTCAGTGGATTTTGTCACAGAGCACTGGCACCTCTTCATGAGTCAAACTGTCATTTTGCTTGATTCTGAAACAGCACTTGAGAAGCCTGAAACACCTCTTGGATCTGCTATTCCATGAGATATCAGGCAAACAAGGAATTTAAGGGTTAAGCATTGCCATAGTGGTAAGAACCTCTTGCTGATTTCTTACAGCCTTTAGAGAATTTCCATGGAAATAACTTCTGTGCATTGCCTTAAGTTAGAAGTCATAACCTGACAGCACAGGTTCTAATCAAGATCAAAAAGAACCCACCTGAGGCAGCAACACAAACATATCCCACCCAGCCCTAAATCTATCACCTTCTATCTCCTGCCTATAACCACTACCAGAGCGGTTAGTAGGTACTGCATTCACCTATCTTCATGTGCTTGGTACATTAAATGAAGTTACCTGGCTAAGTCCCATCCAATCTAATCAGTATCATTTCCACAGAAGAATAAAAATTACTTGGGAATCAAAGCTGAACCCACAGAGAACAGGGAGAGCTGAACTCCTTCCCATGGGAAGGAGCTAGGCTATGCTGCTATAATAGCGAGGCACCTGGTGCTAAGCTAAAATGGCATAGATCCCTCTGCACTCCTGGTAGCTTGGGACCAACCTACCAGCAAGCTAAGCCACCACACAGAGTATAAATACACAGCTACCTGTAATGGAGAGAAAGAATCCAGTGTCACAAGAGATTAAAAAACTTAGTTAATACAAGCAGAATATGGAACCACAGACACAATAAATTTTTCTGCCCCACATCATGGGCTAAGTTTAAGTTGCAAAAGTACCAGAAAAGCTAATTTCATACAGGCCATTTCCCTCCCCCAAACTTGTGGAGACACAGCAATTCACACCCCATTTCATCCCTGCAGTGCCAGGAAACTCCCAGTGTGACAAAAGCAGGAGAAAGGAGGTGGACAGTGCTGGCAGGAACAGCAACGGACTGTTCACAGCTGAACACCCAGCCTCGAACACTGCCAAGGCACTGTGCCAACTCTGCAGTTAAAAACAAGAGGAGTATCTGGGGAAAGAAGGATTTTGCTGAACTTGGAATATATTTGATTCAGCTAACCCAAAGCAACCTCGCTCTTTTTGTTTGCAAATAACTTCAGAAATAGTTTTTAAAAACACAATATTGAAGCTTCTAGGATAAAGCGTCTTCAGTATTTACCTATAGACAAGTCTGTGTCTGGATCAGACAGGAATGGTCATCATTTGATCACATTGAGTAGTGTTCTCTTTCAACACTTGCTACAGTCTATTTGGACAGAATGTTCCAGTTACGGGGTGTCACATACTAAGTCTTGCCAGAGCTAAACTTTCAACTCTGTGGATCTACAGGTTGTCCAGTCATCCTGGCATTGCATGTTGGCAATTAAATTAATTTTATGATCTTAAACTGGAATATAAAGTCACTTTCAAATACAGCCTTGACATTTCCTTAGGACTGAAAACTTCTAAGGAGACGTCAATATAAACTGGAAAACAGCCTTAATCTACCAGATTGGAAAGTCAGGAGGGCAAGAGTTTTTTTTTACTTAAATTCAACAGGTTAATGTTATTTCATTTGTAACTTACAATATAAAACAAACAAACAAAAAAACCCACCAACACCCAGCCACACACACAATTGATTTCTGCAAAGTCCATGCTGTTAACAAGGCAAGGGCAACCTAGGCATCCAAACAAGAGAGGCTTCTCTTGTGACCTTCCTTCATGATCATCTGAAGTGTTCAATAGAATTTGGTCCCAATAATTCTGGTTATTGTATAAACCTAGTCAAAACAAGCCATAACTAGCAGCTCCAGAACCTGCTATAAACAAGGTAATGGATTTAAATTATAAGAAACACAGCAACTTTTCCAAAAAGTGTGTGGAAAGAGTTTTCAAAAAGCTCATATATAGAAACTATTTTCATTATTCACATGTATCTTTATCCTGCAATAACCCAACCAATACACTAAACTAAGGGCTACAGCTATGTCAAAAGCTGTCACTAAAATATACAGATGTCCATCCCAAAGGAAAAAGCTTCATTAGATTACTCATGACACTTTCCACTGAGACAGGCTGCATCAGGAAAGCATTACACATTGTTTGGTAAGTGAAGTCACACAGCCACCAGTTGCCCTATCAGGTCACATCACTTCGTACATCCACTAGGCGAGTCTGTTTACAAATATAATAAAATATTTTGGTAAATGGTGCTGGCTGAATGTGAATGCATGGAAGGAAGGAAAGGGAGATAATTATTAATTAGTTAATACTGGTTCTTACACATTAAGGTGCATGGCTTTCAGATGATGGCATCTGCCTACTTTATATCTAACTTCACTGTCTTATGGCTATTTTTAAAATAAAAATCCTTTCCATGAGTACCCCACATGAAGCTGAAAGGCTGTAAAAGCCTTTCTTGAACGTTAACACTGATGCACAACCACTACAATGTGAAGGTGTATTCACGTTTTGGAACAATCCATACTTCCACTATCTACTGAGTTAGCAAGATCAGCCAATAGGTCTACTAAGAATTGTTACTAACTCATTTATTCACTCAGAAACAATCCTTACAAGTGCCAACACTTCATTAAAAAATATGTAGTATTTTTGTAGGAACTGTCACAAGTACAAAGATGGTCAACAGTCAAAAAAGTAAGATATGACACCAAATCTGAGTTTTCATAATTGAATGGTTTCCTCTCCTCCCACAGACACACAATATATGAACTTCTTTCTTACCACTTCCCCAAGGGAGGCAGCCACCATATGTGTTGCTGGAGTCAAGTAAGATGTAGAGCCATGGTGCAGCATAGATTTCACATTCTCATAGGTGATAAAAAATGCAGCAGCTGAAATTCAAGAATACATGCAGTCATTTAAATGTTCCTCCATCACAGAACTAGCACAAGAATACTTAAAGGTGGATTTTGTCACCTATTATTCTGCACCTGTAGTTGAAAACAGGCTGTGTTTGCACCAAAACACTACAAACAGTATCAACACAATCTGTGGGATAATTCCTTCAGAAGTTCAAGCTCCTCGCTATCACCAGCAAGCCTCCCATTAATATCAAAGGTGTCCGGACTTAAGGCCATATTTAGTATTGAGATAAGGAAAGTTGTGTTAATTAGTCATGAATGTCCAGTAGGTTTTGAAAAAATGGTGTCTTCCATATTCATAGATAGGAAGGGTAGAGAGGAGGTCATTTGGCTGAATGGATGCATGGCCTTTATTTTTTGGAAAAAAAAAAAAATCAGTTGATTAATTGAAAAGAAGAAAGGAAAAAAAAAAACCCACAATCCAAAAATCATGGAGGTACTTGATATGAGTCTGCTACCCTGCAACGTGCAAAACTGTTTCAGGAGCAGTTATTAATAACTTCTTCCTAGCTATCATCAGTTTAATATTTTGCACTTTAGCTCCATAAAAAAATTCTTCCAAGCTTCTGAAGGACTCGTGAAAGTCCTGTCCAGTGAACAAGAAACATACAAAACTACACTGAGCATAGCAACATGAACTGCGTTTACTCACTGCAACAGTCAGCTACAAAGGCACTTGCACCTTAAGGGTTACTCCTTCTCCTAAAGATAATTTCAGTTCTCAGTCATACGTTGGAAAGATAAAACCACAGTTCAGATTTTGAAGATGTAAATCCTGAAAAAACTGACATGTCTTGCGGGGGAACAGATTTTAATTGTAAAGAAGGGCTATGTGAATTGCCTTCTGCTAATCAAAAGATGTTTATCACCTCAAGAGGAGATAACAGAGCAGACAAGATAAAGAACTGAATTTTTTTATATCATCTTATGAAGGACATCAAACACCTGAAGGTGTCAGTGGATTTGTCAGCAAAGTTCTCCTAACATTTACTACTGACAGCGCAGCTTGCTGCTTTTTTATCCCTCCCTACAAAGACAAAATGGACAAAGGCATTAGGAATTTTAGATGCCTTTTCCCTGCAGGGACTACAAGCATTTACTTTTTTAACACTTCAGTTTCAAAGGTATTCCTGAAGTCTTCTCATTTTAAATGTTGTAGTTGTTTCCAGGGAGAAAAAGACAGTCATAGCATCCCCAGGGCAATTAGCTCAAAGACCTCCAGTGCTCCAAGCACTTTGAATTGTGATTAATTTCCAGTGCCGTGAAAGAGTGGGTCATGACAAAAGTGTCCAGGGCAAGCAAGGCCCAAGCCCTCTTTGGCACCTGGAAATGCTTTAGGGCGCCCCTATAAGTAAGGACAGGCTCATAAGACATATCCAGGAATGCTTCCAGGGAGTAAGGGTTGCTTTTCAGAGTAAACATGCAGCAGCCTTCATTCCAGCCTTGCTCAAAGAGTTTGTTCGATACTGTACAACTCTAGAAACTGCTCTTCACAGCTGGACATGGACTCACAGAATCCAAACAACCACCTGCAGGAGAGGAAGCCATGGACACAAATGTCCTATACTACGTAAGTTTCTACTTAAAGATGGTAAAGCATAATCCAAAGAAAATTTACCATTTGGAAAGGATCCTATAGCAGTGGAAGGAACACCAGCATAGATGCCACGAAAACCACCAGCCTTCCTAAATCCTTGAGGACTCTGCAGTCTTGTTTTTACAGTATCCAGGGGAAAAAGGATCAAGTCAACACAGACACCAGCAACTCCACCAGCCTTCAAGACAAAACCATGGAGTAAAGTGCATTAATATTCACGGGGATGAAGCTGTGGTGCTTATGTGAGTAACTGAGGCATGCCTAAACCAAAGCACTACTGACCATATCCTTTCTGAAGTCAAATCATAAACTGATAGCCTTATACAGACCTCAATAACTTCTATAGCTGTAACAAGGCATCTCCAACAAAAGAGAGAAAGTAACAGATATTACAACTGTTAAACCATTTTCAAGGTATTTTCAATACAATCTTCACTATTTTGTATAGTACAAGCAAAGCAATGCAATGTTTACCCACTACACGTAAAAGCAAGACAGTGAACACCACTTATCAAGATGACACAGTACACAACTACCAACACCTCTAGGAAGTTGTGTGATAAGATCAGGGAAAGACAGAAGCAATTTTGCTTCCCCAGTAGGCATCTCTAGAAAGCACACTCACATTTTTCTAGCAAACTTCATTTAATGTGTCATCCCCCGGCCCCCCCATTTCCTTTGTTGAACAAAGCCTGAAGTAAAACTGCTTTATTTTCCTCTGCTCACAAAAGCCTATAGGAAAAAAAAAAATCATATAAATAAAGATGTTTTCAAAGTCATAAGGAAAAGGGGAAGGTTTTTATCCAAAGCAATTCTTAAAACCAAACCCTAAAAGAAATAGTTTCAACTACAGCTCAATCTTTTTCCATTGTCTGTGTTTCTAGATTACTTTTTTTAAGTTTTCATATCAATAGTTAGCATTCATCCATTGTGAGACATTATTTAGATGCACTATTATTCAGAACAGAAAACATAGTTTGAAGTCCACCTCATATAGAACAGCACACAAGAAAGAGCAGCACAGATTCTTAACTCTGAAAATAAATTACATGTGTATTACTCTGACTTTTTTTTTTTCAGGGCCAACAGAGGATTCAAAGAGGCGTTCGCTATCTACTACTAAAGCTTTAATCAATAAGTTAATTACTCTTTTAATCTAGTCGGCTATTTTGCATGCATTGATTTTTCGTCACTCTTTTTCATCAAAATCCTTATCTGCTCAAAATAACATTGATCAAATTTAATCTGGCCATCTGTTAAAACATGAATTAAAAGTTACTAATTGCTTCTTTAGTTTTCAAAGTTCTGTACCTTAAATGTCATTTAAATTCATGAAGTAGCTAATAGAGCCCCTACCAGAGGGCGACAATACCTGTGCGCTTACGCCACCTGCAGAAAACAGTAATGACTTTTAGGTAATAAGACAACTAAAACGCACCTTCTCCCCCACCTTGCAGTAACAGTAGCACTACCAGAAGCCGAACAGCTGAAAAACCTTTACCGGGAGTGGGACGTACCCGTTAAACTTTGCTCCATCAAACAAACCCAGGACCTAATTCGCATGCACTGAACCATGATGCAGCAGCCGGCTGCCCCTGCAGTGTTTGGGGCAGGGAGAGAAACTCTCCCCGCAGCAGGCCCAGGCCCACAGCCCTCCCCACGCCAGCCCAGGGGCACCACGGCCGTGATTTTTCCACACAGAACCGAGAGCGAGTGCCGGATGTTTCCAAGGAGGCTCCTAGCTATGGAGGCTGGGGGCTTCGCCCCCTTGTCTGCGACCCTGCTGACAGCACACGCCGACAAGCAGCTCTCAGGGCGGGCAAAGCCGCGGGAAGCACACGCTCCGCGGTGCGCAGCCCCTCCACGGCCCCGCAGCCGAGGCCGTCGCGTCGCCTTGGCAACGGGCAGGCCCGGGGCCCGCTCACTCACCGCCAAGGCCGCCCAGGACTCCCGCGGCTCCATTCAGGGGCGGCCAGACGAGGTGGCGAGACGGCGCAGCACACACCAGCTCCCCCC